ATTTGGCTTGGAGAGCAAGGAGGAATAGAGAGAAGATGAAACAGAAAAGACAGTTGATATCAGATTTCAAAGGTCTTTAAATGCGGGGTGATGGTGTTTACCTTAGCCAGGCGGAGATACTTGGCCTCTGTGTTATAGGCAAAGGGTAGCCATGGACTTGGCTGAGACGGGGAGAGTCAATCTGCCTTGTATTCTAGGAAGATACAAGTGACTGAATAATGGTGATGACAAAGGAAGACTTTGGGAGGAACTTAATAGGATGCTCTAATAGTTTGGGAGAAAACGATAAGAATAAGTAGAGCAATAGCAGATGAACTCCAGAGACAGTACAGATACGATCTGTCCTGACAAGAAAACGGATCGGATATGGGAGATGGGAGAGAGGCTGGTGCTGACTCAGGTTTCAGAGCCGGCACTGGGAACACGAGGGACCTTTCCACGGCAGGAAATGAAACGATTTGGTTTTCAGATTGTTGACTAAGAAGCAATGGTGAGGTACACACGAGAGCCTCAGGGAGTAGGACGCATAAGGGTAAAATAATGTGGGATCACTAAGAAATGTGCATTCCTAGTACTTCAGGTGTATTTAGAGCTCTATGCAGTGAACTACCATTAACCCAATTTAAATTGCTACAAAGTGCTATTCTTCTGTGATGAACCTGCACATTTTGATACCCATTTTTCGATATTAGGAGCTGGCAAGCTGTTACCCAGGTCTCTAGACAAAGAGAGGGAAGATGACCAGTTGAACCCCACTGGGACTTTATGTTTACAAGCCATCCTGTCTTCATTATTTATTTATTTATTTAAAATATATTTTTATTGATTTGAGAGAGGGAGAGAGAGGGAGAAATAGAAACATCAATGATGAGAATGAATCAATTGGCTGCCTTTTGCATGCCCCCTATTGGGGATCGAGCCCGCAACCCGGGCATGTGCCCTTGACTAGAATGGAACCCGGGACCCTTTAGTCCACAGGCCAATGCTCTATCCACTGAGCCAAACCAGCTAGGGCATGAAGGCTGTTTTTATAGTGAAAGTTCCCACTGAGGTTCTCAATTAGGTCCTTCTTATGTGAGGTATCAAAATTGTGCAGTTCTGATAGGACAGGGCAGTTCTCAGTCCGTTGGTAGAAGACGAAACCAGGTTGACTCAGGTAGTACGAACAAGCAGGGAACAGTACGGGCACTGAGAGTTCAGTCTGAGGTTCTCCCTGGTACACAGCATTCGTGAGGAGCCCATCAGCAAATGGCAGCTAGGCTCTTATTATTTAAAAAAGTTGGGCCCTCGGTTGGGCCCCGGGGAAGCCCATCTCAGCAGATAAATTCCTTCTCGAGGCTCACATCAAATGAATCTTTCTTCTTAGGGTCCACACTAGGGAGCCTCTTAATGCCTTCAGCACTCATTTGCAAATTGTCTGTTACAATGCATTACTTCAACAAGGAATTCCACAATGAACAATGCCATATACTGATTTGATCCCTTGTTGCTTCAAAGCCACACTCCTAACCTGGCCCCAAATTCCAGGGCTGCACCTTACTTGGAAAAAGTATCAGTTTTTAAAGTGGCCCCACCCAAGTATGTAAAACTTCCGAGGGAAATTATTAGTAGAGGGAGACCAAAAATGTCACCAACCCCCTTCCTCCTCGAAGCCAACCCTGTGCAGACAATGCTGGTGTTCCCAAATGTGTGTTGCGCACCTTTGTGCAAAGTCCCTGTTCTCAGAGCTGGGGAGTCCAGATACGATTAAGACATGGTTCCTGCCTTCAAAAAGCATCTCGTGCTGTTGACTATACCTTGTCAATTTTTTTTTTTTATACCTTGTCAATCTTGTTCCTCTCTCTTGTCCACTGTGCCGGCGGACACTCTAACCACTGAGCTCCCTGGCCAAAGCACTGAGGTGCCTTTAATGTGTAATTTTTTATTTCTATGTGTTCTGTTTTGTGTACATGCATTTTAATTTACATAAATGGTATTGTTATATATCTCAATTTCTTGTATTTTTCCACTCAACATTATATTTTTAAGATCAATCCATATGACTACATGTATACTGAAGTCAATATTTCCAACTGCTACCCAGTACTCCCTGGTGCACCTGCCTCCTCTACCTACTGCCTTCCAACAACTGACATTCAGACTGTCTGCAGCCCCCGGCGTCCACCAACAGGGTCCCACACACACCCTCTTCTCGTCTGCAAATCTAGGTTTAAGTCAGCCCTGTCGCTGCTCCAGGTCAGGCACCTCCTCCACCTTGCTCCTAGGAGGGTCTTCTTGACAACTGAAGAAAAACACCCAACATGAGCACATTTTTTTTGCCAGTAGCAAGTTTTATTCTAAGCAACTGCCAAGTCATCAAAGGGGACACTCACACAGGACCCAGGGGCCCACTCCCAACAGCAGTGCAGCAGGCACTCAACACTCTTGGGAGACAAGCACCCACGTGCTTTCTCTCCGTCATCTCTGGAACAGTCAATCCCAGAACTAACTGGGAAAGTGTGTCATTTGAACAACCTCAAGGAACAACTGGTCTAACAGGAACAAACTCAAATACAAGCTGATACAAGCTGAACAACCTTAAGTAACAAAGGAGCCGTCTACCCTGTGAGGCTGCAGAACCCAGCAAGGACGCAGATGGAAGAGGAAGCGAGCTGTGGCGAGAAACCCAAGCACCGAACTCCTGGGAGGAAGCAGCTCCGTACTCTCGGCTCCTTTCCCAGACTCCTCATTCTCATGGGGGCTTTGGGGTCCACTCCCACTGCTCTCTCCCCCTTGGTCCTTTTGATTCAGTGAGCCCCATCCGAGAGTGCTAAGTCCCCTCACAACAGGGAGCCCGCGTTATGCACCCTGATCACTGGCCTAAGTGTGGGCAGGCTAAAGGAGGCCCAGAAACAATCCCCGCCCAGATGGCAGCAGTCCCCGTGTTAGGAACAACTTCCACAACTTGGGAAGTTTAAAAACCAAGTGTCAGGCCATATTTTCTTTAAATCAGCTAAAATCTAATTCCAAAAAGGTTCTTCAGAGCAAGGTGAGCAGTTCATTTAAATTACTTCTACTTGTTATTAACAAGGAGGCTACAACAGAAGAGAAAACGGAGGGTTATGCTTCCCAGAGCTCTCCTGCACACCTGCTCATTCCTTTGGCCCGACTCCACCCGTGGGAAGACCTGAAACCCTGGGACAGACCCTCAAACCAACCCCCGTGCACAAGTATCAGCATGGACGGGAAAACCCGAGACTCGAAGGTGCCAGACACGGCAAACACAGCAGCAGGGTGGACAGCAGGGACAGGCCTGGCCCCGCCCTCCTCCACACAGTTCTGAGGACTTGGGCTCGGCCTGCTGCTTGGCCAAAGTTAGGCAAATCAAAATGACACCCCCAAGGAAGAAGTCAGTCCCTGACTCTGCACAGTGTCTCTTCGGGGGACCAATGCCAGCCCCCTCAGCCCCCCCGGACAGGCGGGGGGCTGGCACCCTTAGAGCAGGCCGTTGGGCCTGCCTGGCTCTGAGGCCAGCGTGCCACGCTCCCGCTGGTGGATCTTCTGGTGCTGCAGGAGGTGCTGCTTCTGCACGAAGCTCCGCTCACACTCGGGGCAGGTGTAGGGCCGCTCACCCGTGTGGATGCGCTGGTGCCGCACCAGATCTGATGGGTGGCTGAAGCTCTTGCCACAGTAACCACAGATGAGGCAACTCCGGCTTTTCCTCCAGGGGATGTGGCCTGGCAGGGCAACCAGGCTGTTGGGCGAGAACCTCTCCTGGACACGCTGGCCACCACTGGGCCCCTCCTGCAAATGGCAGCGCTGGTGGTTCGCCAGGTTCACCTTGCTGCTGAAGCTCCTCATGCACACGTCGCACTGATGCTGCTTCCCCTTCTTGGACGGGGGCTTCAGCAGCGGCCTGGACCTAAGACCCTCCTCTGGCTCCGAGGTGGTGGAAGACTCCCACGATGGGTGGGCCCGCAGATAGGCCAGCTGCTGCTCACAGCGGAAGCTGAGCTCACACTCAGGACAATCGTAGGGGCCGAAATCTTCCCTATTCAGCTTCAGGGCCGGATTACATTCCGGAGCCAGTTGCACCGGCCTATTAGATTTCTGCTTCGGGGGGCAGTCCAGATTTCTGTCACTGCCAGGGTCTCTGCTGCCCTCAGTGGGCTCCTCTAGATTAGCGTCCCCGGCCCCTGGTTCCAAGAGGACAGAGCCGCCCTGAGTGTTCCAGAGCTCAGTCTGCTCCGGGCCCAGGAAAGCCGGCTCTTCCGCGGGGCCTGAGAGCTCTCCCGGAAGATCCTCAGAGCGTTCCGGCGGGTACTCTACCTCCTGCTTAATCACAACCCCTTCTGATGCCAAAACAAAGAAAACCAACAAAAAAAGATCACATTATAGCACCTTTGGTTTCTTTGGAACTAAACATATGTGAATCCCAGAAGGGCTCAAATCAAAGGATCAAGGGAATTAGAGACTGACTGGGTTCCAAAACCTGGAAAGGGAAACCTATACTCAGGTAGAGACATGTGGGTGGGAAATCTGAATATATTCTTCTTATAGAACAATGTTATAAACAATAGTTTTTCTAAGTTTGTCCACAAATTACATTCAATCTCTGAAAAATGGCTAAATATACTGAAAAACTATACTTAGTTAGGAGTGTTAAAGTAATAAAAATAAGATTAAAAACACACACACACAACTAAACCGATAGCTTAAAAGTTCATGTATCCAGCTGTTCTTCCTGCACATTCTCCCCGAATTACCTGGCTTATAAATGCTTTTCCTGTCTCTCACCCAGTCAGCTTCACTCCTGATGCTGTGAGCAACCCTATCCTCAATGCCCTGTGGGTTTTGACTAAAGTCTGTTATGTACTCTCCTGTGTAGGACACGAAGAAGTCTGATATGGTCATGAATCTCAAGGATTCCAAATAGCAGTAAGGAGTTCAGACACACATAATAGGTGAGCTAATGATAATCATAAAAGAATCTAGAATAAGTAAATGCCACATGAGGCTACTAATGATCAATGTTTGGCAGTTTAGCAGTGGGAAAGCTCACTACAGACTGCAGGGAGTGGGGAGGGGAATGGAATATTCTGGAGCCACTCACCTGGATGGACACCACCAAGGCCTTCCTCCTCCAAGTCTCCCAGCATCTCTGTACCCAACTCCGCTTCTCCTTCTGGCTGGCCAAGGACCTCTGGGTTGGAAAGAGCACCCAGGAGAGTAAACTCTCATTGCACACTAGTCATTTGCTGATGAACGAGGTGACCAATGTCAAGGAGTCAATATTAAATCTTCAAAGTACTGTTTCTGTCACTTTCCCCTAGTAGTTTGGGACAATTAGAAAATTATGGCCCATTGGAATGATGTATTCAGCTAACTGCGCCCTCGGTACCCCTCCATCAGTCCCCTGTGGCTCAGCAGGCAGGCACAGGAGCCCATCACTCATTCCACCAATGCCACTGCGAAATGGCAGGCACTTATCCCCCACCTGTGACAGATAAGGCATTGGCCACAAGCAACACATGACCCAGTGAGGTCACAGTAACCTTTCTGACCCATTTGCTACTTTCCTGCCCCCTCCACTCTGCTCCAGTCCCGGTGGCCTTCTTGAGAACCTTCCATGAACCTGTTAGACTGTCAAGCATTTTGTCTACCAAACAAAATGCATTTATAATGTAATAACTAACATTTTGTATATCAAGATCTGTATCTATTAAGCAGTACTTCTCATCAACACAAAATAAACACCGAGACCACAACTGGCTGTGATTCCAGCCAAGTGCCCAGGACAATTTTTGGTTAGCCTGTACTGCCTGTCTCATCCCCGGTAACAAAGGATTCCTTATCAAATAGTCTTAAGCACTGGAAATATCACGAGGGCCTGGCCAGCGTGGCTTGGTGGTTAAGCGTTGACCTGTGAACCAGGAGGTCACAGTTCGATTCCCAGGGTGCGGGCTAGGTCCGTGGTGGGGGTGTGCAGGAGGTGGCCCATCAGTGATTATCTTTCATTGTTGATGTTTCTGTCTCTCCATCTCCTTTCTTCTCGGAAATCAATAAAAATATATTAAGAAAAAAAAATAGCATGAGGAACCCTAGCCATGTTATACTATAATGCATATCATGACCTCTTATCTATTAGTAAATATTATCAAGATCTGACAATGTGACCACAGAGAAGAAAGGCATGACACTATGACCTTTCCTAATGTCCTGGAGACTCCCATTTTTCCACTCAGCACAGGCCAGGAATTGTGGGATGTCTGGGTGGAAAGGGCTGCTTACTCAGAGAGACTAGCGTCTCATAGTTGCTCATCATCACATTTCTGTACAGCTCCTTCTGCCAGTCCTCCAGATTCTCCCACTCCTGCTCCGAGAAGCAGACGCCATCATTCTCGAGTGGCCTGGGCATCTGAAATCGCAAATGTTATACAGTGAGTGCTTCCTGTCTCAGCCATTAGGGAAAAGCCACCTACTGAGAATCTCAAATAAAAGGACTACCTTGGGGGCCTCCCCTGTGCTGCCCGGGGGCAGCCGCAGGACCCAGAAGTTCCTGTTCCTCAGCAGGTTCTCCATGTTCTCCATCCGCCGCTGCAGCAGCCCGTACTCCTGCAGCAGGGTCCCCAGCACGGCCCACTTGCCCTCCAGCTGGTTCCCGAACTCCACGGCCGTCTTCTCAAAATCGGCCAGCTTCTTCTCGGCTGTCTCCATGCGTCTCTCCAGGCTCTGCAGCTGGGCGGCCTGGGCCTCCATCTTCTTCTCCACGGCCTGGAGGGCGGCCATCACTGACTGGAGTGACATCTCTTCGGCCTCCGTCTCTTGTGGGGGCGGCGAGGGAGAGGCCAAGGGTGTGGCGCGGCGCTTCCTCCTGTGCTGGAGAGCCAGACAGGTCGGTCAGTCAGCGCCACTTCCCAACACCAAGCAGAGTCCGGCAGACTCCTAACGAGTACCTGGCTGCTACTCTTTAATTTAAAAAGTTTGCTCTTTTGTATTCTGATACTGCAAATTGTACACATATAATAAAAAGTATGGAAAAATAGAGAGAAGGAAGGAAGGAAGGAGGAAAGGATTATGTAATATATGTTGTTAGAATATTGGTGTATTTCCTATAAGGTTTTTTTTCATCTTTTTTTGGTCAATGAAATTGAAATCATACTGCACATGTTTTGTTACCTGCGTCTCATACATAGCATATTGTCTAACACTTTTCTGTGTCAGGATTCATTTTTTAAACCAATTTCTGTTTTGATATTTTGGGCTATTTGTGATGTTTTGCTGTGATATTATTTACATCTACTCCTGTCTCCACATTCCTGCCAGACTTCATAGTTGATCAGGTCCCCTTTGCTGAAACCTTTCAGCAGCCCCTTAAGGTTCCTTTAGCAGGACCTACAAGACTCAACTCATTCATCTGTGCACCCTGGCAGCCAGTATAAGTGAACAAATTCTTCATAATCATTCAGTGAAATGATCAAAGTCCTCTGACGTTCTTCTTATACTTCTCATTTTTATGGTCTGTCCTTGACAAGAGGAAAATCACTGTGGCTGAAGCTCAACATGACTAAGACCAATACTTGGGGAGTCCTCTTGAAGCTGTCCTCTTAGCCCCGCTGTCCTACTGCAGGTTCACATGTCAGCCCTAAGCCCGCAAGACTCATCTCCTTTTATGTGGCACACTTTGTTCAAGGCTGCTTCTCTCACCACAATGAAGACATTGAGACCAAGACATTGAGAAGAAATGTGTTTACAGGCCATTCAATGTCCTCTTTAGTGAACTACCTGCTAAAGTCTTGCCCACTTACTTTTGGGTTATCTGACTTTTCTTTTACGTCCCCTCGGATTTCACTGTAACTTCTGGACACTAATCTTTATCAGTTATATATGTTGCAAATATCTTCTCTTTATTTGTACTTTTTATTTTATTTTTTTACCCTCTTCAGTATTATTTGATCAAAAGTCTTTAACTTTAATGGAGCTGAATGTTATCAGTATTAATACTTTTATGGTTTGAACTTTTGTGTCAAAAGTTGTAAAACAGAAATCTAGAACCCACAATAGTCTTCTAAATACTTTATAGTTTTGATTTTCTCATTTAAGTATTTACCTCAACTAGAACTGATATTTGTATACGGTGCAAGACTCAATTTTCATATGGGAAATCAACAGACCTAACACTACATAATGAAAAATCCATCATTTACCCACTGATCTGAACTGCTATCTCTGTCATAAGTCAAGTTTTCTTACATATGTTTGTTTCTGGCTTCCCTATTCTGTTCTACGGGTCAATTTTTCTATCACTTTGTCAATATTGCCATCTTAATGGCCATAGCTTTTTGATAATTATTGATATCTGGTAAGGAAAGTCCTACCTCCTTGTTTTACAGGAGTATATTGACTATTTTAGGCCTGTTGATATTCTACAAATTTGAAAAATTTCACACAAAAAATATCTTTAGAGATTTTGTTTGGAGCTGCCTCAAATCCATAGGTAAATTTGAAAAGTGACATCTTTAGGATGAAATGTTTCAATCCATGCACATATGATACACTCCTTTTTAAAAGTATTTTTGATGTCTTTCAATATTTGAGCATATTTCCCAGGTACCTGTTCCAATCCTCAAATCCCAAAATTTAGAGGCTTAGGACAACAACATCTATCTTGCTCGTGAATCTGCAATTAAATGAGGGTTTGGCAGGGAGTGTGTGTCACCTGGAGCAAATAACAGGCAAGCAGGCACTGGGACCATCTGAGGCACCCCAAGCCACTCACAGAGGGCGCATGGTGACATTCTGCATACAGCCCTACCTAAGGTCCCAGCCCCTCCCACGGTCAGCACCAGAACACACTTTCATTACTAACAGGGTTTTGTTTTTATTTTTTTCTTTCTTTTATTATTTTTTCCTTCACCATTTATCCCTCTCCCACCCCCACCCCCACCACCTTGCAATCGCCACTCTGTTGTCCGTGTCCATAAGCTCCTTTTTCTTTTTGTTCAATCCCTCCACCACCACCACTTTAAAAAAAAATACTTTATTGATTTTTAGCGAGAGGAAGGGAGAGGGAGAGAAAAAAATCAATATGAGAGCGCAACATCAATCGGCTGCCTCCTGCACAGCCTCCACTGGGGAGCTAGCCCGCAACCCAAGCATGTGCCCTTGACTGGCAATCGAACCTGTATCTTTCTGGTGCATGAGACACCGCTCAACCAACTGAGCTACACCGGCCAGGGCAGTAATAGGGCTTTATGCCTTCTTTCTTTTCTCTTCATCAATCTCTCTATACATCAAAATTACATATATGGGGTAGATATATGGGAAAAATTAATCATATCCTCTCTATATGTCCTGTCTACTGAAATAGCCACTAGAAACATGTGGCTGTTTAAAGTTAAATTAATTGAAATTAAATTAAAAATGCAAGTTCCTCAGTCATACTAGCTACATTTTAAGTGCTCAATAGCCACATGTATCTTGTAGCTACTGCACTGAGCAGTGTAGGCAGAATATTTCCACTATCTCAGAAAGTTCTTTGGAGATATTACACCCTCACTAATTGTTTCCTGCTTGATAAAATAATAAGGCAATATCAAAATCTTCTACTATGGTAGTGAATTTTCCTTGTTCTATCAACTTTTGTTTTATATATTTTGAGGCTACATAATTAGGTGCATATAGCACTAGAAATGTCATATCAAGCTAGTCAATTGAGTCTTTTACCATTATAAAAATAGTACTAGTCCTCTATCTCTAGCAATATTAATATAGTTAAGCCAATTGCCTTCCTCCCTCTTCCTTTTTTTTGGTTAATTCTCTCTGGTTAATATTTTTTCCATTTGATTTTAGAAAGTGGAAGGGTGGAGGGAGGGGAGGAGAGGAGAGAAACATCAATGTGAGAGAGCCACATCAATTGGTTGCCTCCTGCACTCGCTACAATTGGGGCAGGGAACCTGCAACCCAGTATGTGCCCCTTCGGATTGAGGGTCAATGCTCTAATCACTGATCCACACCAACAAGGGCCAATTTTCTTTTGATTAGTATTAACCTGGTATATGATTTCCTATCCTTTCATATTCAGTCATTTCCACAGCTTTATCCTGTATTGTATGTTATAAACCATACAGTTGAATTTCCCTCATCCAGTCCATCTTTTTTCTTTTAACTAGATCATTCAGTCCATTTACATTTATTCTAATTATTGATGTATATTTATTTTGTACCTTTTCTGTGTGATTTATCCCATCTTTCATCTTCTTTCTTGCCTCCTTTAGATGATTTTTTCCTTATTCTGTTATTCCCCCTCCTTTTTTTCTTTTAAAATATATTGTAATTGATTTTAAAGAGGAAGGGAGGAGAGATAAACACATGATGAGAGAGAATCATTGATGGGCTGCCTCTTGCACATCCCCTACTGGGGACTGAGCCCGCAACCTGGGCATGTGCCCTTGACCAGAATCGAACCGGTCTGCAGGTCGATGCTCTCTATCCACTGAGCCAAACCAGCTAGGGCAATTCATGTTTATTTTTGTCAGACAGCTGGAGGTTCTACTTTAAATTAAATTCTCTGCTTGCAGTTTCTTGGACCATCCAGGTCATATAAATTCAGGCAATAAAACCATCTAAGAGTCATCAATTTTCAAGAGCCATCTTGCACCCATCTCTAGGCACCAAGGTTTGACATATGTAACTTTCTCGGCAATCACCTGGGGGTAAGAGCTTTTAGTTCGTGAATGTTGCCCTTTGCCCTTTGGAGTCTCAGCTTTATGGGATTCAGGCAGGAGGCTTCCTGGGGACTCTCACCTTAGGCTTTGAGTTTCATCTTCTATTTTCCAGGCCCCTTGAGGTCATAACCACCACAGATGAATGTTCAGCAAAAGCCCTCAAAGTTGGTTTCAGAACTCTCCTTACCTCTTAAGAGCTCCCTCTTTCCCCTGGATTTTGGGCTCCAAGTATTCTTTACTAACATAAACATCAAGTATATTTGTGTCGTCCCCCCCTCCCTCTCCGCCCCCCCCCGCCCAGCATTTTTAGTTGTTTTCATCATGGTACCTACTTGGCCACACTGTGAAATGAGAGGTACAGAATCCTCATCTGAAGAGAAAATGCCTGAGAATAGGAATATGCCGAAGGACAATTTAAATACATTCTACAACGACAGATCCATAAGTTACTTAGAGCGTAGTTTTGAATTTTGGAGGATCTTTAAGGCTTTCCTTTTAACAAGACCTGCTGATGCCACGCAAGTCGCTGTGCACTGACCAGCCAGGAAGCACTCTGGCCGTTAGTACACCTGTCCTCCTGCCCTGCTTCACTACTAATCTGGTCTTGAGGAAAAGCTGTCTCTGACTGTTTCACCTTAGTTAAAGGAGTCAGATGAGGCAAATGCTGTAAACATTTGTGTCTTGTCTTCATAGTTCAACTTCAGCTTCCTTGAGAGCAAACACTGCTCTGCAAGCCTGCCAATCCTTCCCCCTTAGTTCTCACCCCCTTCCTGCAAGAATCAAACAGCCCTGACCACCGCTGCTCTACTCGCCTCTCTCCCTTCCCCTCTCTGTAAAATTAATAAAAACATATCCTCGGGTGAGGATTAAAAAAATAAAAAAAGAACCAAATACAGTGCATCTTGCTAGCCCTCAATTCTCACGAGATCTCATATGATTCTGAAAGTGTTTCTAGACCACGAAATGCTTGGGGCGCAGATGGGAGGCAGCGATCGATGTTTCTCTTTCTCCCGCCCCCTCTCTCTCCCTTCCTCTCTAAAATCAATAAAAACATATCCTCGGGTGAG